CTAACTGAGAATATTAACTTTTTGCTTATGTGGTGCTGAGGTATTGAACCCAGGGCCTCATGCATGCAAGGCAAGCGCTCTACCACTGAGCCACCTTCCCAGCCCCCAATTTTAAAGTCTTTTTAAACCCATACTTCTGAGTTCTTTATTTCCAGCTATCTTTAGAAAACAGTCATTTAATTTTACTCGCTTATATTCCAAGTTTTCCATGTTTTTCCATTGTATTACTACTAGTCTTTTGAGTTTAAAAACCTTAGAGTCATCTTGAGAGTATTTTATCTGTTTTGCCAAATCTATTGTTCTATCACAGCTCCCCCTCCCCCCCCTTTTTTTTTTGGTGCCAGTTCGGGAGCTTAAACTCATGCCTTCCCTGAGCTTTTGGGCTCAAGGCTAGTGCTCTTACCACTTGAGCTACAGCCCTACTTCTGGCTTTTTTGGTGGTTGATTGGATGAGTCTCATAGTTTTTCCTGCTCTGGCCAGATTTGATCCTTATCCTCAGATCTCAGACTCCCTCAGAGTAGCACTAGGATTACAGACCAGCTTCTTCATAATCTTTTGATTTGCTATGTCTTATCTGCTTACCCAGTATTCAAAGTGGGTTTCACTTCACATTTGAATTATTTCAGTAGCCTTTCAGTTGGCTCTCCTTTGTCTGGGTCCCTCTACTCCATCTGTACCAAGTGGCCAAATTAGTTTAACCTAGAATATGACTTTTTTGCTACTTTTTTTCAAAAACCATTACTATTAAGATACCTTAATTTAGACTCAAAAATGACCCTTCCCTCCACTTGTCTCCCATTACTCTTTCTACCATCTGCTATGGTAAACAGGTGTCCTGCCCAGTTCTCGGCATACTCAGTGTCTGTTTTCTTCTTGCCTGTGAATGTTCTGGCTCTTAGTGGTGGTTCTTGTTTTCTCAGTCTATCCAAATGTCTCTAGACTTGTGCAAAAAAAGCTTCCCCATGGGGCTGGGGTGTAGCTCAGTGGCAAAGCACTTGCCCAGCAAGTGCAACGTCCTGGGTTCAATCCCCAGTACCAAAAAAAAAAGCTTCCCCAATCCTTAAGTATGTATTAGCTTATTCTCTTAAAAACAAAACAAGCTGGGCACTGGTGGCTCAAAGACAGGCCAGGTAGGAAAGTCTTATCTCCAGTTAACTACCAAAAAAGCTGGAAGTAGAGCAGTGGCTCAAGTGTTACAGTGCTAGCCCGAACAGAAAACATTCAGGCCCTGAGTTCAAGCACCAGAACCAGCACTTAAAAAACAACTAAAAAACTTCTTGATGGAATTTTATTCTCTTTGCCTAAACAGATGATAAAATTCCTTTGGGAACTTTACCTCTTCTGTGTTTGTATTTATGGTTGGCAGTTTGGGGGGGCAGGTATTCAATAAATATCAAGTTAAATGAGAAACAGAACTAATTATTAACACAGTAATGATTACATGGCCAAAGATTATTTTAACTTCTGAAATGTTGTCCTTGCAAGTTTATCAAGTTCATTTTTAGATAAACAAGTTCACAGTCGCCCTTCCTTCCTTTTTTTCTCTTTGTATCTTCCTCTCTTTTTCTCCTCCCTTCTCCCTTCCCCTATCTCCTCTCTCTTTTTCTTCTCCCCCCCCCTCTTTCTCTTTGAATTTCTTGCTTTCTGCTATCCTGGGGCTTGAACTCAGACCTGAGTGCTATCCCTGAGTTTTTGTTTTTGTTTTTACTCAAGGCTAGTATTCTACCACTCGAGCCACAGTTCTACTTCCAGCTTTTTGGTAGTTTATTAGAAATAAGACTCCAGGGTAGCTGATATTACAGGAGTAAGCCATCAGCACCTGGCTGGCTACACAATCACTTTTATTCTGTAAATTTGGCTTCATTATCAATCTTTTTTTGGGGGGGGGGTCAGTCGTAGGGCTTGAATTCTGGCCCTGGACATTGTCCCTTCAGCTCAAAGCTAGTGCTCTACCACTTGAGCCACAGTACCACTTCCAGCTTTTTCTGCTTATGTGGTGCTGAGGAATCGAACCCAAAACCTCATGCATGGGAGGCAAGCATTCTACCGCTGAGCCACCTTCCCAGCCCCAGCTGTAAATGTTTATATGTGTATTATTACTAGCCAAATGATTAGCTAGGTGTGATGGTATACATTTGTAATCTCAGCACTCAGGAAGCTGAGGCAAGAGAAGTGAAAGGCATCCTGGGTGAGACCCTATCCAAAAAAAAGAAGAAAAAAGTAACCAGGTACCTGTGATGCATGTCTGTAATTCTAACTACCTAGGAGGCTGAAATTTTGAGGATCATGATTTGAAGCCAGCCCAGTCTTGAGCTATAAAGCCTAGCACAAGTGTAGGGCCCTGAGCTCGTGTTTCATATGCCAAAAAAAGAAAGGAGGAAGAGGGGGAGGGGGAGGAGGAGAAAAGGGGGGGGAAAGAGGAAAAAGAAAAAAGAGGGAAGGAGAGAGGAGGGAAAAGATAATCCTTTTCAGCTTTTTGGAGAAAATTTTATAGTTACAACTAGTAACCTCATGCTTTTACTTCTAAACTTACAGCAAGCCAATTTTAGCACTTTTAAGTTTTGTTTTCTATTTACATTATTTCTTGCAGATATGTCTTCTGCTTGGTTTACTCTTTATTTGTCTGCTTGGGAGTTTTATTCCTTTAAAATTTTTTTTTGTATTATGAGGGATTCCTTTAAAAAAATCTTTCCAGGGTATTGAATACTTTTTATATTTTTCCCATACTTTTTTTGGGTGGGGGTGTTGTGGGGCTTCAAGCCAAGTTCAACTTGGTCTAAACACTGTTGCTGAACTTTTCTGCTCAAGGCTAGTACATTCAGGGACTTGCCTGCCCTTGCTGACTTTGAACCAAGATCTTTGGATCTCAGCCTCTTTAATAGCTAGAATAACAGCTAGAATTACAGGCATGAGACACTGGTGGCCAGGCTCAAACTTGTTGTTGTTGTTTGTTTTCTGTTTTGGGACTTGAACGCAAGACCTGGGGGCTGCCCCTGAGGTCCTGAGGTCTTTTGCTTAAGTCTAGCAAGCTACCATTTGGAGCCACAATGCCACTTTCCAGTTTTCTGGTGGTTAATTGGAGATAAGAGAGAGCCTAATGAGCCAGGTGTGGGTGCCAGGGGGTGATGGCTCACGCCTGTAATCCTAGCTACTTTGGAGGCTGAGATCTGAGAATCGTGTTCAAAGCCAGCCCCGGCAGGAAAGTTCGTGAGACTCTTATCTCCAATAAACCACTAGAAAACTGGAAGTGGTGCTGTGGCTCAAGCAGTTGAGGGACAGCGCCCAAGTCCAGAGTTCAAGCCCATGACCGACACCCCCTCCCCCCAAAAAAAGAGCCTCATGGACTTTCCTGGCCAGGCTGGCTTTGAACTGTAATCCTCAAGATTTCAGCCTCCAGAGTAGCTGGGATTACAGGTGTGAGCCACCATTGCCTATCTCCGAAAGTTTTAATAGGGAATAAATGTGCCTCCATGGCACTTGTCAGGAGCAAAATCATTGACTGTTATTGTAATGCGCAAATATTGAAAACTGTGTTTGCTTTCCTATTGTGGCCTCCTGCCCCTGATATGATTTAGTGTTCTGGTATACTTAGTACTGTTTGGAACTGAAGCAGCAGTGGTTAACTTTTTTTTTTAAACTCTATGACATAGTTTTTAATGAATAATTCCACAATTTACTAAGATTAAATTACATGTGATTTAAACTTCTAAGTATAATTTAAACAGTAGGACCTATATTTTCAAGATGTTTGTAGATTGGGTTTAGTAATTGCACTTGGTCTTCATGATTATGTGCCATTTTCCAGGGACTACAAACAATATATATGTACATTGTGCCTTGACTCTTGACTAATTATACCTTTCTAGAACCTCAAGACCATTTAGACAAGAACATAGTGACATAATCTTAGAAGATTTTTTTCTCTTTTAAGTAGAGTGTCAAAAATCATTTATTTAAATTTTGCATATACATAAGGATGAAAATTTCCCTTTAAAGTCTCATAGTAAGAGGGCTATAGTTGGTTTTCCTGTTCCATTTAATGCAAATAGTGGAATAATCATAGTACTTTGCAGCTGAAGCATTTGAAAATAAGCTGTTTAATGAATCTTGCACAGGTTTAGATTACTGGAAGATAATGTTTTGTGTCTTCCAAAAGTTACGCTGTTGTTTTCTCGTAAGTATACCAGGTTTCCAGAAACTGAAGACAATCATAGCCTCCGCCATTGGTAGATTTTGGAAGCATCTGGAAGATAGCCTGTGTCTTGTCTGTTTTAGATTGAATTTTCAAGCTTTGACTCTTTTCCTTGAAGTTACTTTTACAAATTAATCAATAGGGAAAATTTCTTAGCAAGATTTCTGGGTTAGCTTGAAGTGGAAGATCTCCCTCTACCTGCTCAAGATCTTGCCTCCCTTTACCCCACAAATGTGTGACTGTAGTGCTTGGCCTCTACCAGAGTTTCTTAGGGTGTACCTTAAAAGGTTTTACTAAGGAAATATTGTCATGTGAAGCTTTAGTTTTTGTGTATGGCAAATGGAACTACTTTTGGAGCTGAACCTTTTTAATTATATGCCCTGTTTTGAGGAAAAGGGGAGAATTTTTTCACTAAAATTATGTCTCTCGTTGTCTAATTTATCTTTTCAGAAAAAAGTTAAAGAAATAATGAATAGATGTTGAATTGTAGGAATTTCAGGTCGTCACACCCACTCTTGTGCAGGAATGGTTAGTAGAAGACATTTGAAAACCATTTTCACACACATCCCCAGCCTAGATTAATTAAGACTGGCAACAGGAATTTAGTGATTAGAAGTATTATATGCTTTGTTTCACTGTCTTTCAGCAAGAATCAGTGTGTTGGGCCTTGATTCCAGAAGAAGGAGATCTCTATGGGTTTACTAGTTGGTGGTAAAATCATGACTCACCAACTATTAGGCCTTTATGTCCAGATATTATCTTAATTTATGGAGTAAGGTCCCTGAGTTCTCCTCTTTCCTTCCACAGGGCAAGCAGGAGGACTTCAAGACGACAGTTCTGGAGGGTATGGAGACGGCCAAGCATCAGGTGAGGGTGGCATTAGATGCTTGCCACTTAGTAGCAAGAGCCGCCAAGTCAGGGATTGATGCTTGCAAATTTTTGGCTGTGGTATCCACATCTTAGCCAGAAGCACAGGGGAAATCTAAACGCACAGAACAGAGTAGTTTAGCAGTAGAGTGTAGCCAGACAAAGGCAAGCAAAACCTGTTGAAGTCCTCAGGCCGATCTCAGCCCTCCACTTTTCTTCACTTTTTTGAGGAGATGGCATATTTGTTTCTCACCAGCAGTAGTTGAAGTAAAAGTAATGATGTGAGAAGTAGAAATAGGAATTGTGTACCTTTAAAAAGAAAGTGAAAAATACTCCTTGGGTAAAAATTAGCTTTTAGAAAAGTATATTCAAAGCTCTTATTTTCCAGGCCAGACAATACAGATTTTTGCTAATAGGAAAAAATAAAAAGTTCATAGGAGCCACCATCTGGAAACAGTTTATTGCAGGAATCCAAAGCAACATGTCTAGATTTCATCCATTTCCTTTTGTAGGATTTTTCTGTGTGATCCTGGGATGAACGCTGCTTTATAAATGCATCTTGATAGGATTGAGCTAGGTATTACCTTACTGTCGGAGGTTGTTGTGTTTTAGTTAAGTCTACTTTAAAATTATTTGTCTATTTTTTTTTTTTCAGGTAAGGGGTAGGTTTATTCAGTTGGCACTCCACGTGGCTGGGAAAGAGAGGAAAGAGCTAGAGCAGAGAAAGAGCAGAGAGAGCTAGAAGAGCAAGAGCAAGAGCTATTTGTCTATTTTTGTTTATTTACTTTTGGTGGAACTGAGATTTAACTCTAGTTCTCTAGTTTGCCTAAGACAGACACTCCTATCACTTGAGCCACACCCCTAGCCCCTAGTCTCACTTTTTTTTGTCTGGGGCTGGCCTCTGACCAAGATCTTCCTACCTGTGACCTCCCACTTAGGTAACCAACTTACTGATTGAAATAATCAGAATTTCACTAACCTTTTGCTCAGGCTGACCTTAAACTGCAATCTTCCTGATATCTCTTTTCCCACATCACTAGAATTACAAGCATGTTCTACCACTACATGTCTGTTGCAGTTAGCATATATAGCAGGTACAGAGTATTTGTATTTTACTTTCCTGGATGAAAGATAGTTCTGCATTAATAGGCTCCAGATGTTAGGAGTGGACTTTTTTTGTTGGTGTGACTTTTTTTTTTGTTACTGTCTTGGGCTTGAACTCTGGGACTGGGCGTTGTCCTTGAGCTTTTTTTGCTCAAGGCTAACGTTCTACCACTTAAGCCACAGCTCCACTTCCAGTTTTTGGGTGGTTCATTGGAGATTAGAGTCTCTTGGACTTTTGTGGCTGGCTATAAACCACAATCCTCAGATCTTAACTTCCTGAGTAGCTTGGATTACAGGCATGTGCGATCAGGCCCTGGAGAAGTGGACTTCTTTAAATGAATTTGGAGGTAAATCGGTACTTGTTTATTTTAGAGGAATTGAATTTCTCATTGTAAAAATATTTATGGCATATAAAGCATTAAGAATGCACAAGTAGATCTTCTTGGAACTGTTGAGGAATGGGCCTTCTTTTTTCATAAGACATTACTCTGCTGCTGAAGTAAGCAATATGGTGTATTGCTGAAAGTAAGACAGGCTTTTATTAAACTAAGGTGCTATTGAATTTCTGTTAGTATATCATAAGTTTTCATTTGTCCAGGGTGATTTGTCCAGTGATGGTGACTATTCTGATTGAACCCTTCTTTCTTTAGGTCTTCATTCTGAGTGAGGCATTTGTGAAACAATCAGAGTTAGAAACTGTCTATAAATGATCACCATTCTTCTCTTTCAATGAAGCCAAATGACCCTACCTTCATGGGATCTTGTCTTAAAAATCCAAGTTGATGTGTAGATCTTAAATCTCAGAGCTAGTAGGGAATTTGAGGTCATCTTGTCTGGCTGGCTACCTGCCCTGAACAGATAGGATTCTGTTTCCTCTATTTTGAGTTAGATCTCAAAAGAAGCCTGAAGAAATTGAATGACTTGAGTAGGGATAAAACAACAGTTGTAGGGGACTGAGAACCAGGGATCAGCTTCTTGGTAAATGTAGATTATTCCTAATAAACCATTTAAATCAGGCATGTACCCTAATAGTTTAAAATCTAAAGTATAAGAAATAACTTTTTTCTTTCTCACTATCCTCTTACTATTCCTTATTCTTTCTGTTTTGAAACTTATTCGCACATGATATGATGCATTTTTTGCTTACTCACATCAAGTCTTGCATAGGTTTCCATCAGGTTTTTGTTTTTCACTTTTTAGCTACAAGTCTAGTTGTAGTTAATTTACTTTTAAAAATGAAAGATAAGAAACAAGACCTTTTTTTCTGTTTACTTCTATTTCAATACATTCCTGTAGTCAGTAAGGCTGTGTTTTATCAGAAGTAGGAAAACCATGTTATGGAATGGAAGGCCTATAATCTCACCTTCCCTTTTTTCCTCTTCTTCTTCCCCTTCTTTTGTAAATTTTGCAGTACTAGGATTAATCTCAGGGCCTCACTAGCTTACTTGATGAGCTCTATACCACTTTAGTGCCCCTAGTTTTGAAAAATATAGATTATTCCCTTAAATACTTAATTTTTCTATGTTTTAAACCAATAAGAAAGAGCCAGTGCTTTAGCGTGATTGTATTCTGGAAAGTGATGATAGATCCGCCTGTGTGAAGTTATGCACAGGGAGGAACTGAGCAGAAGTTAAGACTGAAGTAGGCAGCCCTAGGGTAACCTTCTTTGGAACATTCAAGATTTCTAAATTTCCAGATCTGTTAAGTGCATCCAAACAATGATGTGCAAAACTACATTCCTGGGCTAACTACAGATTACTTCTGATTTTTTTTTTTGTCAGTCACAGGGATTGAACTTGGGGTTGAGACATTGTCACTGCATTTTTGTACTCAAGGCTATTACTGTACCACTTTGAGCCACAGCTCCACTTCCATTAGGGATGTTTGATTGGAGATAAGGTTCTTACAGACTTCCCTGCCCAGGCTAGCTTCAAACCATGATCCTCAGGTCTCCGTCTTCTGGGTAGCCAGGATTACAGGTGTGAGCCACCGTTACCTAGCCCTACTTCTGAATTTTATGTACTATTGGTACTTGAAATGATCAAGGACAAATTTTAAATTAATTGCACTCTAAAGATGTTTTCCTTGAAAAGTAGCACTTAGAAGCTGTATTATCCAAAGTGAACTGTGGTAAACTTTGGTATAAGAAACATGCCTTGACTTTGGTTCTGATTTGGTTAGGTTCCATATTAACATTTCTGTTTCTTTGAAAAGAGGGTATCCTTTTCTCTTGTAGGTTTTTCTGTGTGCGTTTGATAAGTGTCCTCATTCCTTGAATAATAGTCTTATCTACAAACACAAAAGGAAAGAGATTTTAGAGGCCATTTTTCATTTTGAAAATTAATGCCATCACTTAATAATTAGTTTTTAAGAAGGCTATATGGGAGATAGAGGTAGAAAAGAACATTATTCTACATATAAACATCACATCTTTTTTTTTCCTTGCATTTATCTAAAGTTTTGATTTCCAGTTTATTAAGGTACTTTGAAATTGCCATAAGACCTTAATTTCTTAATTGTTAATATTCTCAGTTAGTGAACTGTATTAGCGTGGTTCGGTCCCCCCTTACCCCAGTTGGTTGTGGGGCTTAAATTCAGGGCCTGGACATTGTCTCTGAGCTTTTGCACATAAGGCTAGCATTCTACCACTTGAACTATAATACCACTTCTGGTTTTCTGGTGGTTAATTGAAGATGAATCTCATGGACTTTCCTGCTCGGGCTGGCTTTGCACCTCGATCCCCAGATCTCAGCCTCCTGAGTAGTAAAGTGATTTTTGTTCAGAGCACTTACAGTGAAGAACCAAACTAGTATGAAATAATAGTGTGATTATAGCATGATAATAGTGTCCTTTATAATAGGAGTTTTAAAATGTTTTATATTTCTGCCTGTCATTGAAAAATAGTATGTTGCAGTAGGGTCAATACTCAGTGACCACTTACTAAACATTTAGAAAAAAATATATCTAAGCAAGACAACTATTTTGGGCGGGGAGAAGTGGAGTTTTATTTGTTTTTGTTTTGGTTTCTTGAGACAGGTCTCACTATGTAACTTAGACTGACCTTGAACTTGCTGCGTGACCAAGATGGTCTCAAATGTACTATCTATCTTAGCTTCCTGAGTGATGGAATTAATAGGCATGTGCACATGCCTGCTGAGAAGTGGTATAGTGGAGCTAATTAATCTTCATGTTAATTGCACACATGAGAACTATAGCTGATAAGTGGTATTTGGTCCAGGTACTCAAGATTCTTGTTAGATAATAATGTTCTTTATAATGTGAGACATTTTGGGGTTTTGATTTGTTTGGCTTTGGGGATAGGGGACTGATAACATCAAAGATGTTCTCCTTTCTTGTCCTTCTTCCTCCTCCTTTTTCTTTTTTCTTTTTGGCAGTTGTGGGGACTGAGTATTGACCCTACTGCAACATACTATTTTTCAATGACAGGCAGAAATATAAAACATTTTAAAACTCCTATTATAAAGGACACTATTATCATGTGGTGCTGAGGAATCGAACCCAGGGCCTCATGCATGCAAAGCAAGCACTCTACCACTGAGCCACCTTCCCAGCCCCTCCTCCTTTTTCTTCTTTAAAATTTTTTTTATTATTATAAAGGTGAATAAGCAGAGGGATTACAGTTATATAAGTCATGTAAAAAAGTGCATTTCTTTTTTCTTTTTTTGGGGGGTGGGGGAGTCCAGTGGGGACCTGAACTCTGGGCTTGGGTGCTGTCCCTCAACTCTTCAGCTCAAGGCTAGCGCTCTACCACTTGAGCCACAGCTCCATTTCCGGCTTTTTGCTTTTTGCTTATGTGGTGCTGAGGAATCGAACACAGGGCCTCATGCATGCAAGGCAAGCGCTCTACCACTGACCCACCTTCCCAGCCCAAGAGTGCATTTCTTTTTGTCATCTCTTCCCTCAGTCTCTCCCAGTATTTCTATCCCATCCCCAAGTTACATAGTTCAGTGTCAACATAGGGTCCAGACTCTTTTTTTTTTTTGTACCAGGGCTTGAACTCAGAGGCCTCACTCTGCCTGAATTTATGTGCTCATATCTGGCACTACCTCTTGGCCAACATTTTGCTGATTAATTGGGGATGGAGTCTCAAGGATTTTTTTTGGGGGGGTCTGGTTGTGGGGCCTGAACTCTGGGCCTGAGCGCTGTCCCTCAGCTTTTTAGCTCAAGGCTAATGCTCTACCACTTGAGCCACAGCACCACTTCCAGCTTTTTTCTTTTTGCTTATGTGGTACTGAGGAATAGAACCCAGGGCCTCATGCATGCAAGGCAAGCACTGAGCCACCTTCCCAGCCCTCAAGGATTTTTCTACCACTGAGATTCTCCAGGTCTTAGCTTCCTGAGTGCTAGGACTATAGGCATGAGCCACTGGTGCCTAGCTGAAAAAGCATTTAGTAAAAATTCACATTTATGAAATAACCAGCATCTCTGATAATACTGCCCCCAGGGGCTGGAACTCAGGGTCTGGGCACTGTCCCTGGACTTTTCTTTGTAAGGCTAGCATTCTACCACTTGAGTCTACTTCTGGCTTTATTTTATGGTTAATTAGAGATAAGAGTCTCACAGACTTTATTGCCTTTTACTACCTTCAATGGCTTTGAACCATGATCCTCAGATCTCAGTCTCCTGAGAAGCTAGGATTACAGGCATGAGTTACCAGATACCAGCAGTATAGCTCTTTCTGATTTTCTCCCTGAGGAATAATTAATTGTCCTGACTCTTTAATTTTAGGTTGGAGTTACAAATGGAAGGACTGTTGATTTTATTTTTGTCTGTTGTGGGGTTGAACTAATAGCCAGGCACTCAAGGCTAGCACTTTGAGCTTTTTTTTTTTCTGGTGGTTAATTAGAGATAAGTCTCACAGACTTTCCTACCCTGGGCTGGTTTTGAATCACGATCCTCAGATCTCATCCTATTGAGTAGCTAAGATTATAGGCATGAGCCACCAGCGCCTGGCTGGATTTTTTAGTAGGACGTATGTGCTCATGTCTGAATATCTTCCTTGTCTTAAGAGCAGTTGTTTTAGTGTATAGCCCATGCCAGCACTAGACATTTCTGCTTGACCTCTTGTTAATCAAGAGGTGTTTGCCATGTGAATGAATGTGTTTGTGGAAACAGACCTCTCAGTAGCTTAACTGCCACTTTCTAAGTTAAAACTACACTTGTTCTGTTATTTGTATTCTCTTAATTGTCCTAATGCCTTTTTGTTCATTTTACTTCTATTACAATGTTTCCAACTAAAGTGTTTCAAAATTTAATGCAATTGCAATAATTATGTGTAAGTAGTAAAGCAGGTACCAGGTACTCTATTTAATTATCTTAAAGCACATAAAATAAGTCCTGTATGCCCTTGCATTTTCCTAGCGGTCCTCTGCTTCCTTTGCTAGGTGTGGAAGGCGCGGCTTTCCAGAGCCGGCTTCCTCACGACAGGATGACTTCTCAAGAAGCAGCGTGTTTCCCAGACATCATCAGTGGGCCTCAGCAGACCCAGAAGGTTTTCCTGTTCATCAGAAATCGCACAGTAAGTGGCCATGCATGCCAGTCTTCTTTTCACTTGGATTTTGAAAAGTGCTTATGATTTACAGACTATGGAAAAAAAAGAATCTTGAAGTACTCAGACCTCATGTTCACTAAGACAAGTGCTCTATCGTTTGAGCCACATTCCCAGGGTGAATTTTTGTAAAAAAAGTGGATGGAAGTTTCTTGGCCTTTTTTTCTGAGGTTGATTTGTCTCATAATTGAATCAACATCTTTATGTAGCTTGTTAAAATGTTAAAATTGGATCTAAGTACAATTTTTAGATAAAATTGTCAGGTTTTGTTTTATTTGTAGGTAGTTTCATAACTTAATTGAACTTGAGTATTGGCAAAAGTCAAGATTTGGAAAAGGGTTGGTCCAAGGTAAAGTGGCTTCTGGCCATGAATTTTCCTTTCTCTTTCTCTACTCTCTCTCCTCTTCCCCATCCTCCATCCTCCTTCTTCCCTCCCCTCTTTGCCTCTGAGCACTGCCATTCCCAACTAGTTCTCGTGTGTGTATGAGTGTGTGTGTGTGTGTGTGTGTGTGTGTGTGTAATTCAGTTTTCTCTTGAGAGAATAGAAAAGTGGAGTACATTTCACCAAATTAACTCCTTGATTAGAATCTTGTCTATGGTGTTTGGTAATTTTCAGCCAAGATTTAAATTAAATATGGTATTTGCTTTTTCTTCTGCTCCCCTGGTGATGGTGGTTTTCTTTTTCTTTTTTTTTGGGGGGGGGTCTGGTTGTGGGGCCTGAACTCTGGGCCTGGGCGCTGTCCCTCAGCTCTTCAGCTCAAGGCTGGCGCTCTACCACTGAGCCACCTTCCCAGCCCTTGGTGGTTGTTTTCTAACACTGATGTGTAGGTGAATCCTTAATAGCTGTCCATCATGTGAACTTCTGGGGACCTCCTTAAGGAAGGTCTTTATCGTCATCGTCATCATCATTTTACATTAGTTACACAGGGGAGGTAATTTCATGATTACCTTTCCACAGGTTTACAGTAGTTTCAGTCTCATTTCTTCTGTCACTATCCATGTTTCCCCTTCTCAAAACAATTTGAACAGACTTCATTATTTTGTTTTCATAGTTGAAAATAACCATCTTTTTCCTTGTTAACCCAGTCCCCTCTCACTAGTAACCCCACAGTCTTTTTTCTCTTTCCCTGTCCCCTATCCCCGTTAGTCACTTCACTTGTGTATGCTGTTTTCATATATACTTGCATTGTTTGCAAAATTTTTCCCTTCCCTCTTCCTCCTAAATAGTCCTTTAATATGAACTAAATAATACAAATATAAATAATTGCATATGTGTGTACATGTACATACATATGTGTGTTTTAGATCTAGATTCCATATATGAGCAAAGACATGCAGTTTTTTGTGGGTTTTGTTAGCTTGGTTTAATATGATACCCTCAATTGTATCTGTTTTCCTGTAAATAAAATGAATTCATTTTTTTCCTTTATGGCTGTATAATATTCCATAGTGTGCAAAAATGCCACATCTTTATTCATTGGTTGTTGGCACTTTGCATGACCCTGTCATTTGGCTATTGTGAACAGTGTTACAGTAAACAGTTATACATAATTTTTTCTGGTATGTTATACAAATATTTTCTGGTAAGTTGAATTACTCTCCTTTGGATATATTCCCAATATTAGTATGGTAGGACCATGAGGAAGATTTATTTTTAGCTTTTTTTAGGAACCTCCCTTCTGATTTCTATAGTGGCTACAATAGTTTACATTCCCACTGTGTTCCTTTTTCTTCTCATTCTTGTTAACATTTGATATTGTTTTATTGACGGCTGCCATTCTGACTGGGATGAGATAGAATCTTGGTATGGTTTTGATTTACATTTCCTTTATGGCAAAGTAGGTTGAACATTTCCTTATGTGTCTGTTAGCCGTTTTACTTCTTGTGAGAACTGTCCTGTCCAGTTTTTTTGCCCATTTTCTAGTTGGGTTTTTGTTTTTGTTGTTTGAGTTCTTCGTGCATTCTGGATATTAATCTTTTATCTGTTGAATAGATGTCAGATATTTTCTCCTTCCGTGAGTTGTCTTGATTCTGGTAATTGATATGCTATACAATAACTTAAAATTTTTTTGGGGGGGGGTCCAGTCGTGGGGCCTGAACTCTGGGCCTGGGCGCTGTCCTTCAGCTCAAGGCTAGTACTCTACTACTTGAGCCACAGCGCCACTTCTTTTTTTTCTGCTTATGTGGTGCTGAGGAATCGAACCCAGGGCCTCATGCATGCAAGGCCAGCACTCTACCACTGAGCCACCTTCCCAGCCCACCTTTTTAATTTTATATAATCCTACTTGTCAATTCATGCTCCTATCTCTGGGTATCTGGAGTCCTATTCAAAAAAATTTTACTTGTGCCATAATTTCCAGAGTTTAGCCTACATATTCCTATGGTAGAGTTAAAAGATTCAGGTCTTACTTTGAGCTGGTGTGTGTGTGCATGCGTGCGTGCGTGCGTGCGTGCGTGCGTGTGTGTGTGTGTGTGTGTGTTTTGTTTTTTGTGCCAGGCCTGGATGCTGTCCCTTCTCATTTTTGCTCAAGGCTGGTGCTCTATCAGCTGAACCACAGCTTTTCTTCCATCTTTTTATTTATTTTTTTTTTTTTTTGGGTCCGGTCGTGGAGCCTGAACTCTGGGCCTGGGTGCTGTCCCTCAGCTCTTCAGCTCAAGGCTAGCGCTCTACCACTTGAGCCACAGCGCCACTTCCGGCTTTTTCTTTTTGCTTATGTGGTGCTGAGGAATGGAACCCAGGGCCTCAGCCATGCAAGGCAAGCGCTCTACCAATGTTAATTGGAGATAAGAGTCTCAGGAACTTTCCTGCCCAGGCTGACTTCAAACTGGGGTCTTCAGATCCCAGACTCCTGAGTGGTTAGCATTCTAGGCGTGAAACACTGGCATTTGGCACCTTAAGTTCTTTGAATCCAGTTGCGAGTTGGTTTTTGTATAGGGTGAGAGAAGGCCAGACACAACCTCCTCCTACAGCTAGATACCTAGTTTCCCAACATTCTGAAAGAGTCTATGTTTTTGCTCTTTTGACAAAAATTAGCTGTAGGTGTGTGGTTTTATTGCTGGGTCTTCTATACTGTTCGGTTGGTCATTGGGTCTTTTTTGTGCCCAAACCAAACTGTTTCTGTTACTACAGCTTTGAAAATCTGGTATTGTGACATCTCTAGAGACACTTTTTTTTTTAACTTAGAATTACTTTTGTTTGATGTCTTTTATACCTCCATATGAACTTTTCAAATTGGCTTCTGTAATTCTGTGAGGAGTGATACTGAGATTTTGATGATTATTGCATTGAATTTGTACATTGCTTTTGGTAGTATGGCCATTTTCATGATGCCAGTTCTGCCAAACCATAAGCATAGAATCTTTTCATCTTCTCATGTCTTCTTCAGTTTCTCTCCTCAAAATGTTACAGTTGGCATTGTAGAGCTCTCTTTCTTCCTTGGTTCATAGCTATTGTTTGGGTAGTTATTGTGAATGGAATTTTTTTCCTGGTTTCTTTTCTCAGGCTGTTCCTTGTTGGTATATAGAAAACCTACTGGTGGTTGAATACTGATTTTTATATCCTGCTATGTTTCCAAAATTTTTGGATTTTGGGTGGAACTTGTAGGGTCTGTTAAGTATAAGATCATATCATCTGCCAATAAGGATAAGTTGATTTCTTGTGTCCCTAATTGAGTCCTTTTTCTTTGTCCTGCCTTAGTGCTCTCACTAGGAATTATAGCAATATGTTGAATAAGAGTGAGGAGAGTAGATATCCTTATTTCTGACTTTAGGGGAAATTATTTCAGTTTTTCCCCATTTAATGTGATATTAGTTGCAGATTTCTCATCTGTATTGTCTAGTTTGTAGTTTTGTTATATGGTGAGAAAACAGAGAAGTTACATTTTGAGAAGTCAAATTTTGGAGTCTTTATAGGAGTGTTAGTGGTCTTCAGGAGGCCAGTTGTTACAAACACCAGCAGCCAGCAAATATACTTAACCCTGTTAGGAAAGTGAGCTATGAAGGCCTGAGAGGAAAGTATAAGGTAAATTAAATAGGTGGGTTTAATTAGGTAGCCGATGAAGAGAATACGACAACACCATGCGGTATTCATACAGGAAAAGTTTATTTACTGAACTGTAATTTCCTCTAGATGGATCATTCTCTTTATTAGTATGAAGTGATCTTTGTTTCTTTTGACCAATTTTAGTTTTAAGCCTATTATATCAGATGTAAGTCTGGTACTCCTGTCTGCTTTCAAGTCCATTTTCTTGGAAGATCTTTTTCTGTTTTATCACCCTAAGCTTGAGTCTGTCCTTGTTAATGTGTTTCGTTCAGGTAACAAATTTGATCTAAATTGATATTGATCCAAGTTGAGGTCCTTTCTTGTCTTTGCTCTTTTCTTCTAGAACCCTCTTTTGCATATTTGCCCTTAACTACCACTCAGAAGCTCAGACCTTACCTTTTCCATGTTTATTTTTTATATTTTTTCTTGGTTGTCTTAGAAGTAGATTCATTGTCTCTCTTTTTCCTTTTTTTCTTTTTTCTTTTTGTCAGTCGTGGGGCTTGAACTCTGGGCCTGGGCACTGTCCCTGAGCTCTTCAACTCAAGGCAAGTGCCACACCACCACTTCCAGTTTTCTGGTGGTTAATTGGAGATAAGAGTCTCACAGACTTTTCTGCCCAGGCTGGCTTTGAACTGTGATCCTCAGATCTCAACCTCCTGAGTAGCTTGGATTATAGGTGTGAGCCACCAGCATCCAGCTTCTATTCATTTTTAGTGACCCCATTCTATGAGTGGTATACCAGACTCCTTTTGTTGTAGATGCCAAAAATAGAAGTTATCCTTGACACTTTTCTCCTTATTCTGCATAGCTACTTGATCATTAGGATTTTGGAGGGTTTTTGTTTTTGTTTTTGTTTTTTTGGCTGGCATGTAGGATGTGCTTGAGGACTTGACCTCAGGACCTCATGCTCTCGCTTGGCTTTTTCACTCAAGGCTGGTGGTGTACCGCATGAGCCCTAGTTTTGCTTTTGGCTTTGTGTGTGAGTGCATGTGCGTGTGCATGTGTGTGTGTGTCCTACCACACTTGAACTCGATGCCTGACACTCTCCTTGAGCATTTCTGCTCAAAGCTAGTTCTTTAAGCCACAGCCACATAATTGGAGATAAGAGTCTCATTCTGCTCAGGCTGGCTTCAAACCACAATCCTCAGATCTCAGCCTCCTAAATAGCTTAGGATTATAGGGTTAGCAGTGCCCAGACACATCTAGCTTATTGGTGGTTGAGTGGAGCTAGGAATCTCAAGGATTTGTCTGCTTACACTGGCTTTGAACTTGGATCCTCAGATCTCAGTCTACTGAGTAGCTAGTATTATAGGCATGGGCCATTAGTAACTGGTAGGTTTTGTGGCATTTTATCTACTTAGTACCTCTGGGATCTTGTGACCCTGGGTATAAAACTAATTGCTTCCTACTAGCTGTATGACTTTGACAAATTACTAGACATTTTTCATACTAGGCCAGATATCCTCCAGCTTCTTTGTTAATTTACTTATTTGGCAGTTTTGTGTTACTTTGGTTTCCTTGTTAGGAATTTAACCCTTACTCTCTACATGATTAATAAAACCCATATTTGAATTGTTAAAAATTAAAAATATGATTTTACAAATTGTCAAATAGTATGTCTATTTGTTTTAATATAATTTATGCCATTTATATTCTTTAAATATAGTTGCAGTTGTGGTTGGATAACCCAAAGATACAGCTGACATTTGAGGCTACTCTTCAACAATTAGAAGCTCCTTATAACAGTAAGTATGTTCAATAAGATTATTAGTTTGGGGTCACATTGTCAAAGTTGGTATTTCTTTTTAGAAGCCTCTTTGTTAATTGATAATTAATTTTTTTATTCATGTTTACATTCTGTGTTACCTTGTACTAAGCAAAACAAATGAATCTTACAAAAAATTGAGCCTGCTGGGCACTGGTGGTGCACACCTGTAATCCTCGCTACTCAGGAGGCTGAGATCTGAGGATCACAGTTAAAGCCAGCCTGGGCAGAAGACTCTTAGCTCCAATAAACCTCCAGAAAACCAGAAGTGGCGTTTTGGCTCAAGTGGTAGAGCACTTGCCTTGAGCTGAAGAGCTCATGGTTAGTGCCCAGGCCCAGAGTTCAAGCCCCATAACCAACAAAAAATAAAACTGAGCCAGACACCAGTGGCTCACACCTGTAATCCTAGTTACTTAGGATCTGAGGATTGTGATTTGAAGCCAGCCCAGACAAGAAAGTCTGTGAGACTATCTCCACTTAACCACTCAAAAGTGGGTAAGTAGAGCTGTGGCTGAAGTGGTAGAGTACGAGTCTTGAGCAAAAAAGCTCAGGGACAGGGCTCAGCCCCTGAGCTCCACCCCCAGGACTGGTGAGCACCGTGTGTGTGTGTGTGTGTGTGTGTGTGTGTGTGTGTGTGTGTGTGTGTGTGCGCGCGCACATGCGCGCACACATACAAAAAAACAAAAGTATCTTAAAAGTGCTTCACAATGGAGAAAGAAGAGAGTTGGAAGATTTTTCCTTTCAAACTTTTGGAAATGTAAATCATGTGTTTTAATTTATCCTGTAGGCGATACTGTACTTGTCCACCGAGTTCACAGCTACTTAGAACGTCATGGTCTCATCAACTTTGGCATCTATAAGAGGATAAAACCCCTCCCAAGTAAGGACCTGTCTGGACAGTGAATTTAGTGGTTTTAAGTTTTTTTTATAGGACTGTATAATACTGTTAACATTTCTTTTTTATTTCTAAGCTATATTTAGTCAAACTATTCTCTTTGTTTTATAAGTCAGAATTAAAACTTTAAGATGGGCAGCAATGGCTTATACCTGTATCCTACCTGTTCAAGAGGCTGAGATCTAGAAGATGGAAATTCAGAGCCAGCCAGGACAAAATGAGACTTCTGATTAACTAGAAAATGCCAGGGTGGAGACATAGCTCAAATGGTAGAGTACCATGAGCAAGAAAGCTAAGTGATCATGATGAGGCTCTGAATTCAAACCTCACCAGAGGAAAATAAATAAATGGAGTAAAATCTTTAATTTCTGGTTTGATAGGTACTTTGGAAAGAATTTTTTTTTTCAAAAAATATTTTTTTTTTATTGTAAAGATACAGAGGGTTACAGTTACATGAGTGAGGTAATGAGTACACTTCCTCTTGAACATTGTTAGCCCCTCCATTGTTTTCCCCCTACCATCCCCTCCCTCCCTCCCCTCCCCGAAGTTCTTTTTTTT